GATATGGCCGATCGGCTACCTGCAGTGCCGATCGGCTACCTGCAGTGCCGATCGGCTACCTGCAGTGCCGATCGGCTAAAAGTTCTTGGTCGATAGCATCATATTTGGTCAATGACCATTGTTCTCTGGCTGATGGCCCCATACTTTGGCCGATGGCCTCTCAGCATGGCCATGGAGTGGTTCAGAAGCATCACAGAGGCTTTCACAGTTTTCAGAGGTGCAAAACAGTGCAAACAGAGGCAACATGAGGCATGGCAACGGGTTTCCGAGCGAGGCGATCGAACATGTATCATTCAATCATTCCAAGGCGGAGCTGTGGTAGCCTCCTTAGTTTCATACTTAGTCTGTTTTGTAACTTAATTAATTTGCTTAATTAGTTAAAGTTTTGTAATAATTAATTAGCTTGTTAGTTAGTTAATTAGTTGGTCTGTATTATTTATTCGGACCCTCTGTCGAGAGGGCAAATTTTGTAATAAGTGTGCGTGAGTGTGTAAATGTCTTCCAATCCCACGTCTTTCTCCCTTTTACTTAACCGCTTATGATAGTTAGTTCTAGGTCATGTTTGGATTAGCATACTTATGATAGCATGTTTGCATGCATTCATCTGTATTGCATGCACCGGGCTCGGCGCATCATACTAACTGCATCGTATTTCAATACCGATTTGAATACATGATTATCAACTGTTGCATTTCACATGACATCTTAGAATAGCCGAGCCTATTTCTAATTGCATTTTGCATGTGTTGCATTAGCCATCTTAACATGAACTAGGTTCATGCATTGATTACTAACTAGTTGTTGTTTTGGCTCGAAGTACTAGGTAAGTTTTTATGCTTTAGCATCCTTGCATGAGTATAAGTGTTGTCATGATAGCATGCTTGCCATGAGGCTATTTGCTTAACTGATATAACTGTCTGAATGCCTGTGGGTGAAGGTTGGATTGCTTGAATTGGAACAATTCATCGAAATGTGAATTTTAAGCCCACTTCGCGGAGTGGCAAAATCATATTTTTCTAAGCCCACTTGAGGGTGGCAAATCCCCGTCTTATCCTACTTGCGAGTAGCACCTTCAAACCATTTTCAAACAAACATAAGATGTTTTGTTCTAATTTAGGCGATCTAGTCTATACTTGTGTGTTGTGCGCATCACATAGTAATTCTAGCTAATAATCAGAATAAGAACACATGTGTTTTCAAAAACAAGATGTCATGTTAGTAAAGGTCGATCCTTTGATCGGCCGAGCGGGGGTGCTCATTGCATGACCTTCCCCTCTCGTATCCAAGTTCCCGAGCCGAAGCAACTTTGGTGATGACGGATACGTGGCCTTAGGCACGAGTCAGGGTTTCCTAAATTTCTCCAAAATAAAATATTTAGGTGGCGACTCTGTATCTGGCAAAGCAATCCATGTTTGGCACTTCTTTACAAAAATCAATTTTCCAAAACGATTTGCCGGATTTGGACTCTTTGGTGATTTATCGGTCTTGCATTGCACTTTGCGGGATTAGATTCAGAACCGTGACATTTTAGTCCGAACTGTAGTATGCTAATGAACAAACCGGATGTTCGCGCCATCTCGCGCGCGGAGCCCGGGACGTTCGGGCACGTCTACGATATGTTGTTTGAAACTGAAGAATTTGACAGTTTCATAACTTGATTTTTACTATAATAACTGTGAAAGGAGTGTTGAATAGATTTGTGCTATGACAGTATAGAAGAGTTTGAATAACTTTTCAAAGTGAGCAAGGCTGATGTGTTTCCATTTGGAGTACATTTTGCTAAGGTTCCATTTCATAAACCTTGGGAAGCCTTCTTTATTGGATGGTCGGAGGAGTTTACTGTGCTCACAGTACCAGTACTGCAAAAAAAAATTGAAATATGTTAGATAGTTAGAAATAGGTGGATGTCTGATATTTTTGTGTGAAGTAGTTGAGTAATGTGTTTACCAAGAGTAACATGACGCATCCAGTGACATGCCTTGGGTTGTTGTTTGCATTTGCCATTGAATTCATCAGTATGTCTTTTATAGCCTCAACCCAATTGTACTTCTTGATGTTGTTAAGATTGTCAACATAGTTGAGGAAACTCCAACTGAGTGTATAGTCTGTCGTAGGCATGAGAAGTTTCAAGCACAAGTAAAGGGTGATGACCCTTACAAGATCTTGATGATCATTGGTTGATTTTCCTTTTTTTGTTTGTTGAGACATTTTGGTCAAAGACTTGCCATCCAATCTCTTTACTGATTTACATCTTCGTTTGTAAAATGGAAGCTCAAAATCCTTTGGTCTTGTATAGGATTTGGTGGTGATGCTGTCTTCTCCACAGTCGATACCAAAAATGAGCTTGACATCACTGTTTCTGAGTTTCATTTCGTTTTTGCCAAGTATAAATGCTCTTTTTCTTTTGTTGTAGAGTGTTGTTATTTCTGCTACAATGGAATTGTAGCATCTGCACCAAGAGGCCTTCAGTTGTGTTGAAGAGTGAGCATTTATAATGGGCCAAAAAAGAATTTTTTCCAGCTCTGTCTGTTGGGCTTTTGTGAATTTGACCCCCTTCAACAATTTGATTACTGTTCCGATGTTGGAACGGTAATTAAATTGTTGGACTCTCTTTGCGAGGACTGTTGGTTTTTTCCCTTTTGATGCCTTGGTTTTTGTTTTGGGAGTTGATTGGCTTTCTTGGAGCTTTCTTTTTTTGGTTGGAGGAATTTCTTGTTCTTTTGTTGGCTTTCTTTTGTTTGTTTTTGTTATGGTTGGAGGTGTGGTTGGTGTTTGTTGTGTGGGTGGGGTCTATGGTGTAGTTCTTGGGCTTTTTCTTGTAGATAGTGTGGTTATTTTGTGGGTTTTTTGGTGGGGTCTGTGGTGTTTGGTTGTGGTGGTTGGGTTTTTTGTGGAGGGAGAGATGTTGGTGGCATTTCAGTGGATACAGGAGAAGGACTTTCAAAAGGGGAGATACTTAAATCTCTGATTGGATTTTTGGACATATGGGTTTGTTTCTTCAAATATCTTCCAACAGATATTTCTGAAAAAATGAAAGCGACGGCAAGGTATGAGTAATATAGTGACAAAACTGTATAATTTTGAAGTTTTATATGCAGTTTGATATGAAGTTATATGTATTTGTTGACAATAGTTACGAAACTGTATAATTAAACAGTTTGATTTGCATTTTATAATAAGTTACCTATTTGTTTTGAGTAGTGATTAAACTGTGTAATTTTGCAGTTTCATTTGCAGTTTGAATAAATTTAGATATGTTACTTGTAGAGTGATGAAATGAAACTGTATGATGTTGCAGTTTTTATAAACAGTATCAACAATAAGAACAACCCATTGTATTTTGTAAACAGCAACAATAACAACGAGAAGATTAAGTATTCAACAATAACAATAAGAAAAGCCAATATTGAACAACAAGAATAAGAATAAGGTGTTGAATGTGTAAAAACAGGGATTTATGTGTAAAAACAGTGGATTAGAATGTTTAAAAACAGGTGACTAGAATGTTAAAAAACAGGGGACTAGAATGTTTTAAAACAAGGGATTATATATAAAAGTGGGTTTATACATTTTGAAGTATGTAAAATGTGTATATATGAAATATAAAAGAATAATGTACAAATTTGAATGAAAAATAATGAATAGGTGAAGAGAGACGTTACTTTTTTTCCCCATTTCTGTGAATCAGAAGTCAGGAACTATGAAATTTCTTCAGAGTGGTGATAGTTCTTCGTGTTGTTGAGAGTCGTCGATTGGAGAATATGAACGGCTGATCGTGGGTGATGAAGATGAACGGTTTCGTTTTGTGGTTAGGGTAGGGTTTCAGAGGGAATAGAGTCGAACGGAGGAAAGATGGAGGACTGAGAATTCGATTTCGAGCGGCGGAGATGTAACAGTATACTGATCAGACTGAGATGATGGTGGGTGATGGTTGCGCGCGTGTAAATTGGATAATATATTGTGGGTATTTTCGTCTTATTGATAATTTGAGGACTTAATGGAGTATTAAATTTGTTTTGGGCTTAAATGGGGTATGATAAGTTGGGCTTGGACCTTTGGGTCAGTTCCCAAAAAAAAAAGTTTTTTAACCCAATAAGGCAAAGCATCACATCCAACTCATAATCATTACATTCTTTCTCTCACAAAAAGTCAAAAAAACCAAAAAGTCTTTCTCAAACAAGGTTTTTTAACCCCAGGCTAAAATAGCCAAAAAGTCAAAAAACCAAAAAGCTAACCCACTTCTCAAACGAATCCTGAGAGTGCAAGTGATTCTATAATGAGGTGCAACTGAAAAACTATAGATGGTGCAAGTGAGCATATTTGGATTTGTTTTGTTTTGTTTTTTCTATTTTTTTGTTTGTCCAACTGATAAGTAATTCCTTCATAAAACTATTATGAGAAACTCATAAATCCCTAAAACCTATTCTCTCATCTTCAAATCATAAGTTAATGAACTTTTAACCATTTGTTGAAATATAAACCCTTCTTATCCCCTCCACACATAGAGTTGATAAAAAAGGTATATAGCACGTATAATTGCAACAATAATGTTATAATTATCAACCTTTTATACCATTTTTAATGTATCACCTCACGTGTTAATCAATTATTGATTCAATGAGTCCCACCACTCATGTTAATATCAAATGATATGCTAATATATGAGGTAGTACATTGAAAGTGATATGTATAACAAGGTGACAAAAAATTCTCTTTTGATTAGTGAAAGATGATTAAAAAAGAAAATACTATCATGAGCAATTTTAAGTGAAGAAATGTAAACGAAATAATAAATATGTTATCATTAATATTATACCATAAAACATGGAAGTATCTCTTATTTAACAACATTAGACAACCGATTATATCAAGGCCCTCCCACATGAGTGACCTTGACAATTACATTTGGCACTTAAATCTTATTACACAAGAAAGAAGAAAAAACAAAAAGTAGATATATAATACACACAAAGCGTTATTCATAGCATCGTTATTCAACATGGTTGATTCTTATTTCAGTAGAGTACGTTGGTGTTGGTGGTAGCACTCTCATCATGGCAGCATATGAAGGTGATGTGCTTATCCATGACACGGAGACACTCCGGGCATTTCATGCTCTCCGGGATCCTTCCTGCCACACTCGGGAACTCAAATCGACAACACGGGTGCGTAATCCCGTGAAGCTTGTCATGGTGATCCTTAAACGATTTATCGAACCCATTGGTGGGCACATTTGTTTTCCATATGTCATCGTACTCCACCAAGGTAGGCAACACCGTGGTCCCGTGCCCATTGACCACTACTTCTGATCCTCTGCAAAGCACGACCCATCCTCCACTCTTGTCGTAGCTAAGTAGTTTCTTGATTTCTTGCAACATGGGGTCGTAATCGTCAACCCTGCCAAGTTGCATCTTGGAGAAGAGCATGCTCTCTAGCCGAGTCCAGAAGAACCATATCATAGGCTCTTGCCAGGCAACCCCCATTTTATCGTTGTTGACGGTTTGAATGACTCTTCTAACTTGTTCCCTTTTGCTACTCTTTCCCACATAGACCATCTCCAGAGGGATGCGCGCGTCACGTGCAACCGCTGTTGCTCTGGTTGTGAATCTTCGTATCCACTCAAGGTCATCCCCTCCATACAAGATTATGTATTTTCCATCTCATGTATTGATGAATAACAATTGAAAGTCTAAAATTTCGATATGTAAGAGTCGATAAATAGTAAAAAAATCACGAAGTGGGGGATTTACTAATAAAGTCAAAATCAAGCCAAATTCTAATATGTGTGTAGTAATATCAATTTCATTATTATAATACAACTACTATGTGAAGAAATTATATATATATGTATGTTTAATTTACAACCACTATGTAAAGAAATTATATATATGTATGTTTAATTTATGAGTCGTAAAATATATAAAATTTACATATTGAATGATGTCATTACTTGGGATAACCTATCATTTTAAAATAAAATATTTATTTAAATTACATTTAATTATAAAAAAATATTACTGCCTCATCATTTTTGTGTGTCAATGATTATTAAGATATAGGAAGATGAAGTTTACCCAATTGAGAATTGTTTGGTCGATACCATTCACAAGCAACTCAATCTTCCAAGTCTCTTCCTTCCAAAGAGCTTCCTCTCTCGCGCTAGTAAAAGGGAATGCATTGCTTCCCCATATCCACATCATGTGGATGGCATTGGGCCTCACAACCTTACCTTGTGGGTCCAGCACCACTAGGATTGCCTTGTTCCTGAAGTGCCACTTCTCCCTTATGAACCTAATCACCACTCGATCAATCAACGAAGGGTGGTGCACCTTGTACCATGGCATAGTGGATTGCAAGCTCTCAAACTGCTTTTGCATCGGGTCAGTCCATTGCACCGACCGATCCACAACTAGGATCCACACCATCTCATACAGATTATCCAACCTTGTTCCTTGATGACGAGAATCGTTATAAATCTGTTCCAGAATTGAAAGCTCATCCATAGAGATGTCGAGGCCTGATATTAGCAGTAAAACATTCTTTCTCCTCAGAACTTCCAGATTGACCTATTTTTGGCCATGGAGATGAAAGAAATTAATAAACATGCAATAATAGCTACAAATGTTCATAACCATTACAGCCGATGTTACAACGTACCCTTCTCTTAGCAGAACCATCAAAGAGCGGCAGCAGATCATCCTTGGCATAAATCAGCGCCCTGAGAACTTTCATGCTGTCTAAGTGTATCATTTCCATTAGATGCACTAGTGACACATAAGCTTCAAGGTTCCTTTTCTCCTCTGCATCAAACAATCGTGACGTTTAGTTTACAATCGTTATGAATCATGAATTTTTATAGCCAAAGTGAAATGGATAGTGTAGATTTAAACTTTTTTGAAACAGCAATGCTAGGTATCATGAAAAGTCTTTCATGAAAATGATCGTGAAAGATTTGTGACCTTTGGATTACACTTAGAATAAAGCACCACACACTAATCAAGATAATCTAAGAGTCACAAATCTTTCATGATCATTTTCATGAAAAAATTTTCATGATCCCTAACATTTCCCTTTTTGAAATGGTTAGTGCTTACTGACCTACGAGTTGGTAGCAGAGTTCGAGTTGCTTCTTAAGATGGTCATGTATGCTGTTGATCTTGTGAGCCAAGCTCGATAGCTCCTGAAGTTTACCCAATTGAGAATTGTTTGGTCGATACCATTCACGAGCAACTCAATCTTCCAAGTCTCTTCCCTCCAAAGAGCTTCCTCTCTCGCGCTAGTAAAAGGGAATGCATTGCTTCCCCATATCCACATCATGTGGATGGCATTGGGCCTCACAACCTTACCTTGTGGGTCCAGCACCACTAGGATTGCCTTGTTCCTGAAGTGCCACTTCTCCCTTATGAACCTAATCACCACTCGATCAATCAACGAAGGTTGGTGCACCGTGTACCATGGCATAGTGGATTGCAATCTCTCAAACTGCTTTTGCATCGGGTCAGTCCATTGCACCGACCGATCCACAACTGGGATCCACACCATCTCATACAGATTATCCAACCTTGTTCCTTGATGACGAGAATCGTTATAAATCTGTTCCAGAATGGAAAGCTCATCCATAGAGATGTCGAGGCCTGATATCAGCAGTAAAACATTCTTTCTCCTCAGAACTTCCAGATTGACCTGTTTTTGGCCATGGAGATGAAAGAAATTAATAAACATGCAATAATAGCTACAAATGTTCATAACCATTGCAGCCGATGTTACAACGTACCCTTCTCTTAGCAGAACCATCAAAAAGCGGCAGCAGATCATCCTTGGCATAAATCAGCGCCCTGAGAACTTTCATGCTGTCTAAGTGTATCATTTGCATTAGACGCACCAGTGACACATAAGCTTCAAGGTTCCTTTTCTCCTCTGCATCAAACAATCGTGACGTTTAGTTTACAATCGTTATGAATCATGAATTTTTATAGCCAAAGTGAAATGGATAGTGTAGATTTAAACTTTTTTGAAACAGCAATGCTAGGTATCATGAAAAGTCTTTCATGAAAATGATCATGAAAGATTTGTGACCTTTGGATTACACTTAGAATAAAGCACCACACACTAATCGAGATAATCTAAGAGTCACAAATCTTTCATGATCATTTTCATGAAAAAATTTTCATTATCCCTAACATTTCCCTTTTTGAAATAGTTAGTGCTTAATGACCTACGAGTTGGTAGCAGAGTTCGAGTTGCTTCTTAAGATGGTCATGTATGCTGTTGATCTACTGAGCCAAGCTCGATAGCTCCCATGCCTCTGTAGCAGAAGTTATGAATCTGCAAACATATTTCATATTATTATTTGGAAAACTAGATATTCATACATAAAGATTTGATACTTAAATGAGTTAACATTGTAACAAATCATTAAACGTACTCATAGCCCATGCTAGTGAGGCTAGTGAGGCTAGTGAGACTAGTGATCTGGGTAGCGCAAGCGACGATGCCTCTAACAGTCCAGTAGACAGAAGTTGGGATAGTGGCTATGGCCGCGGACAAGGCAGGCACCTCCTGTGTGACATATGAAGAGGGTAGATCCTTCAATGCCACAATGCACCTGATCAAATCCAACATGGCCGTGATCAGAGTGTTAAGTGCATCAAACCGGGATTTCACTGGCCAGAGTGTTCCACGGTGACCGGTAATCGCTTCAGGAGTGCCATTGATTTTGCGAGTTGGTTTGATGTGTACATCTGAGCTAGGAGCCGGAATGCTCCGTAGTTCGAAGCGTAAGCTGCTAGTGCTAGCACCAGCTTGGCATCCCATGAATAGTTTGATAGCACGGTGAACAGAGAGATTGTTATTTGATGGCCGTCCATGCCAATTTGACACTTGTATGCTTGCTGATAATGTAAATTATAATTAGATTTTTAAAATTATTAAAAAATAAAAATCAATAGATACAATGAATTGGATAAAATGTGTTACAAAATATAGCAGTTATGTATGTGCTTAAAGTAATAACCTCGCTGGAAAGTTGACGAATTATGAGGGACAGTGCCTCAAGCATGTTAATGACACCACCTTGTTGGCCTTTCTCCTCGAAATGCTCCATGTGTCCTTGGACTCTCATGCCCTACAGTATTCAAATCGCAACTAAATTAATTTTATCAACAAAAAAACTTAGAAAATAGAATGATTTGGGGACAGGATCGAGGATGATTATAAGGCAGAATTTGTTATACCAGGACAATGCTGGTTTCGACTGGCATGGTGGCGGCTGAGGATGTCCACGACGATATGGAGAATGGGTTTGACGTCGATTTTGCGGCCATCTGGGTTATGGGTACCCTGAATTTGCTTCATCATAACATTGTCATCGGACATCATGAGCATGCTTCGGTCGCCTTTGATCAGTTGCGTCATGGAACCGGGTGTCACCTTCTACAGTATTCAAATCGCAACTAAATTAATTTTATCAACAAAAAAACTTAGAAAACAGAATGATTTGGGGACAGGATCGAGGATGATTATAAGGTAGAATTTGTTATACCAGGACAATGCTGGTTTCGACTGGCATGGTGGCGCGGCTGAGGATGTCCACGACGATATGGAGAATGGGTTTGACGTCGATTTTGCGGCCATCTGGGTTATGGGTACCCTGAATTTGCTTCATCATAACATTGTCATAGGACATCATGAGCATGCTTCGGTCGCCTTTGATCAGTTGCGTCATGGAACCTGGTGTCACCTTGCTCGCGGCCATGTTTTCAAAGCAATATAATGCAAAAACTCTTAAGAGAGAGGAGAGAAATATGAAGGCTTGTGTTGTGTGTTCTTCTTGCAATCTGACTTGCCCTTTATATAGCTATGAGAAATGGAACAAAAAACAAAAAGAAAAACAGATGCTGAATCAACTTCCTTGCTTGCTACCAATGAAATTAAAATTCCCCAACGTTAAGTTCATGTCTGCTGTGGGGATATATTTTTTTGGAATGACAACACGTGGCCGAGGTGTCATCGAAGTGCCATCGAAGTGCCAGCTGAGGTGCCACGTGTCCTGATCATGATGCTGAGATTATCTCAGCTAGGCCGAGGTTATCTACGAAGATACCGAAATGACACCTCGGCCATGTTTATGGGTTTGAAGAACCAGATCTTCCGTGAGTTCTTAGACCGTTTTGTGATCGTCTTTGTGGATGACATCTTGATTAACTCACCATCTGAGGAGGAGCACGAAGAACACTTGCGGGTAGTACTTGAGTTACTTAGGGCCCACAAACTGTATGCTAAGTTTGGGAAGTATGAATTCTGGTTAAAAGAACTTAAGTTCTTAGGCCATGTAGTATCCGGGGAATGGGTGACTGTAGATTCATCCAAGATAGAGATAGTGCAAGATTGGGAACAATCTAAAAATGCTTTTGAGATTCGTAGTTTCTTGGGGTTGGCCAGGTATTACTGTCGCTTTGTCAAGAATTTCTCTAGGCTAGCCTCACCATTGACGAGATTGACAAGAAAAGGGGCCAAGTTTGTGTGGAGTGAGACCTATGCGAAGTCGTTCCAAGAGCATAAGGTTAAACTTACCATTGCTCCAGTATTGATTATTCTAGAGAGGGATTTGGGCTATTCGGTGTATTGTGATGCCTCATAGGAAGGTTTGGGTTGCGTATTAATGCAAAAGGGAAAGGTAGTGGCCTATGACTCATGGCAGTTGAAGATACATGAGAGGAACTACCCTACTCATGACCTAGAGTTAGCAGCTGTGATTTTTTCCTTGAAGATTTGGAAGCATTACCTGTATAGTGAGAAGTTTGAAATGTTTTCTGAACATAGGAGTCTGAAATATCTGTTTACACAGAAAGACCTGAATTTGAGGCAGAAGAGGTGGATGGAGTTCATAGAGGATTATAACTTTGAGTTGTATTATCATCCAGGACAGGCCAATGTAGTGGTCGATGCTTTGAGTAGGAAATCCATTAGTAGTGTGACTAGTGTTGCCATCTGGGAATGGGAGATGTTGGGCATTATTGGGGAGTTTGACTTGCATCTTGGCGAGTCCGTTGAGTCTACAACCTTGTTTTCGGTAGTTGCACAACCTACACTTATGAACTAAGTGATAGAAGCACGGAGGAGTGATCTTGAGGTAGAAAACCTCAGGGAGAAGATTTCTAGTAGGAAGGTGGAGAAAGGCTTAAATGTGTATCCCGATGCGAGTATTAGATACCGTGACCGTCTTTTCATGTTGGAGTCTTATCGAAAAGAGGTACTCCAAGAGTTTTATCACTCACGCCTTGTGGTGCATCCAGGAGGCACAAAGATGTATCACAACCTTAGTCACTATTTTTGGTAGAGGGGTATAAAGAAGGATGTGGCTATGTTTGTATCGAGGTACTTTCCTTGTCAACAAGTGAAGGCCGAGCATTACAGGCCAGCAGGTTTGTTACAATCCTTGCCTATAGCCGAGTGGAAGTGGGAGCATGTCACGATGGATTTTGTTGTGGGCCTTCCGAGGACTCAACGGGGTAGTGATGCAATTTGGGTGGTAGTTGACCGGTTAACGAAGTCAGCGCACTTTATTCCTATACGTGTGAGTGACTCGATAGATCATCTTGCTGACCTTTACATTAGGGACATAGTGAGGTTGCACAGGGTCCCTGTTACGATTGTTTCGGATAGAGATCCGCGTTTCATGGCTTGGTTATGGCAGAGCCTACACTACAACAAAAAACAGAAATGGCGACTAACAGATGAAATTTCGTCGCTGAAAGTGCATGAAATGGCGACTAAATTGGAATTTGTCGCTGAAAAGCAGGTTTTTAGCGACTAAAAGGGTTTAGTCGCCGAACAGCGTGTTTTTAGCGACTAAAAGGAAGTTTTGTCGCCTAATATACGGTTTTCAGCGACTAAAGTTTGTTTAGTAGCCAAAAGTCACGGTTTTTAGCGACTAAAATAATTTAGTAGCGAAAAGGTAGGGTTTTGGCGACTAAAAACAGGTTTGGTCGCTGATTATAGCACTTTTGCCGACTAAAAGCAATTTAGTCGCTGAAAGTGGGGGTTTTGCCGACGAAAATCCATTTTAGTCGCCCAAAGTAGTGGTTTTGGCGACGAAATTTCTGTTTAGTCGCCAAAAGTGCTGATTTTTAATTGAGAACTTGTTTTTTTAGCGACAAATAAATAATTAGTAGCCCAAAATAATACAATTAGCGACTAAAAAATGGTTTTAGTCGCCAAAAGTCGCCTAATTTTTTTTTATTAAATAATTTATTTTTTGACAAAAATTATATTGAATTAAAAAAGTTATATTTATAAATATTATTTTGTATTAATTGCGGTTAATATAGTATATAAATAATATATATTGCATATATGATCATGTGATGATGTACTGGCATAGTGGAGGGAGTGTTGTGCAAAGGGTTTGGCGTGTGCAAAGGGACGTCGCAAGTTTGAAACCTGTTGGGAGCAGTAGAGGCGAAATTTTTTTTTTTCTGAAAATACTTTCAGCGACTAAAGTAATGGTCGCCAAAGGTATTAATAATAAAATAAAAATGAACTATTGGCGACTAAAAGTTTAGTCGGCAAAGGTATAGTTTCCAATACAGAAATTGACTATTGGCGACGAAATATTTAGTCGCTGAAGACATATATATTGGCGACTAACAGTGTTTTAGTCGCCAAAGGCATTCGCGACCGTTTATTGGCGACAACACGGGCGACTAAACTTTTTTGTCGGGAAAAGTGAAATTTTGACATTTGGCGACTAAAATCGGACCTTTGGCGACTAAAAATTTAGTCGCCAAAGGTGTTTTTTCTTGTAGTGCTATAAAGCACCTTAGGCACTAGGTTGACTTTTAGCACCGCGTATCACCCACAGATTGATGGGCAGTCAGAGCGCACCATTCAGATTTTAGAGGATATGCTTCAGGGTTATATCCTTGACTTTAAGGGTTCATGGGAGAGCCACTTGCCCTTAGTGGAGTTTGCCTATAACAATAGCTTCCAGTCGAGAATCAGCATGGCACCCTTTGAGGCCTTGTATGGTCGACCGTGTAGATTTCCTGTGTATTGGGCTGAGATGGGTGATGCACTAATGTTGGGTCCAGAATTAGTCTGGAAAACGACAGAGAAAGTTACACTTATCCGTAAAAGGTTGGTTATGGCCTAGAGTCGCTAGAAGATTTATACCGACCGTAGGAGACCCTTGTCTTTTGAGGTGGGAGATCATGTCTTTTTGAAGATGGGTTTGATGAGGTTTGGAAAGAGTGGGAAGTTGTCCCCTCGATTCATTAGGCCTTTTGAGATCCTTGAGAGGATCGGAGAGGTAGCTTATCGTTTGGCTTTGCCACCACAACTTTCTGGGATTCATGATGTGTTTCATATTAGCATGCTTTGAAAGTATGAGCCGAATCCATCGCACATGTTGGATTGGACTGACTTAGAGGTGGATGAGGATGTCTCGTATGAGGAGAGACCGGTAAGAGTCTTGGATACCCGGGACCAAGTCTTACGAGGCAAGATAATTCCCTTAGTTAAGGTATTATGGAAACATCACGGAGTTGAGGAAGCAACTTGGGAACGTGAGTTGGAAGTCTGTCAGAAATATTCAGATTTATTTGTTGATGTTTGATCATGTATTGAAATTTTGTTATGTTAATGAAATATGAAAACATTGTATAGGTTGTATGTGTTTTGGAAACACGGGTTTAATATGAACATTGTATATGTTTTGAAAATACGTATCATGTATTCAATATTGAGAATTTGTTTATCATATTGATGGGATTGAATGATCAGAGAATGGGTCATGGTGATGGAATTAAATGATTTTCGTTATTGTAATTAGTTTTAACTTAGTTGTAAAACTTAATTTGAAATTTCGAGGACGAAATTCCTTAAGGAGGGAGATTATAGCGATTCTAATTTTAACCCGACCCTTGTTGTAGTCTGAACTCGGGTTTCACAGTTTTGTATGTCTGTTCATATCTTGTTTCCTTTGTATTTTCCTTAATTTTGGTTATTGGGTTATTGTGGTTGCGTTTGGGATAAGTTGGTTTTTTAGTTTCCAAACTTTTGTTGCCTAGAATTTTGCTCCTCCGCTCGAGCGGCACTTCTTGCGCTCGAACGGGCTTTGTAAACTCTCAATACTTTCGCAGGACTACAAAACTACTATGAGGGTGTATCGCTCAAGTGGTCTCAGCTCGAGCGGCCATTCTTATGCTCGAGCGATGGTCTGATGTCTGCAAAACTACTGGAAGTGTGTAATCTGCGCTCAAGCGTCACATCATGCGCTAGAGTGGTGTCACCTTTTTTTCATGGTGTCTTGGCGCTCGAGTGTCACTTCTTGCGCTCGAGCGGACTGTGCGTATATCAGTTTGTAGCAACACCTTTTTACATCATTTTTTCACATCTTTTCACTCTAAACCCTAAAGTTGAGACCTTCTCTCTATAAAACCTACATTCTCTCTATATTTTTATCTAGATCCGTTGGTTTATCTACCATAATGTCTTTGGGAAAAGGGTAAGAGCTCCATTTTTATCTGAATAGATCTTGGGTTCGGCGTCTTCGAAGTTCCTCCACTTCTTCCTTGGTCTTCTAAGCTTGAGGTGAGGTAGGGACTTTCTACATTCTTTTATGAGTTTTAACTTAGCTTTTTGTTGATGTATAAATAATATGGGAACTTGGAATGATTTTGAACAAACGTAGGATTTTTGTTTAAAATCAAAAGAGAGGTTTTCAAATGGATGTATAAAAAATGGTTATGGGAA